AGTGCCTATTTCGGGTCACTTTTGCCGGTCCAAGCCCGGGTAAAGGAGCAGGGTTGGAATTGTGACATTAAAAAAACAATAATTGCTAAAAGAAATTTAATTTGTAGTTTAAAGGACGTTTTTAGCTCATCCTTACATGATGTTATGTTTCTCTACTACAACGTAGGTTGAAATCACATTAGCATGAGCAATTATGCAAAGTAGGCGATGACATCATTTAGCGGTTTTCTTTACTGAGGAGTTGGCAACACTGCGAGGGAGGAGGAAGGTAGTGACGTGCCATATCGGTTATCCTTCTGCAATGAGAAGCAAAAATTTCCAGCTTACTTGGTTAATTTAAGTCAACTCAAATAACCTGAGTTAATCAGCTTTGTGATAAAAAGTATGGTGACTGACTTAAACTGAGTTCTAATAACAAGTTGATAAAAACTGAGTTCAGTCTACTTAATGTGTTTAATTAAACAGAATATTAGATTTTACAGTGTAAAAACAGCCTGGTGCTGTCGGCATCTTAAAGCAGCTGTTAATATAAATAACACAGAATTGAATTAAACTGCAGGACTGCGGTGACTCACTTAACAAGCATTCATAATTCTCCTGCCTGAAAGATTTATAAAATATTGAGGACGACACGATTCACTTCCTGTTCTCCGTCACTCTCCCAGGGTTTTTAATCAGTGTCATGCTGCTAGATTGCTGGGGAAGGTCAAGGTTGCCTTTCATTAATAATGTCAGAAAGAATCACTGCTAATGACAAGTAATGGAAGGTTTGAGCTGATATTCATTACGTGACACACCAATCAGTTATAAGTACTCATAGCAATCAAGGTGTCCAAATACCTGTGCAACCAAATACTTCCAGTTTGTGTTTTTGGGTTGAAAAAGCAGAGATGTGGTGTTTAGAGACAGTGTGTCTCAACCTTTCTGACACCCCGACACGTACGGGATAAGTTTGTCCTGGATCACCTGGAGCTTTCTTTAGGAGCCTTCCCAGCTTTGACAAATGTCCAGTTATGTTAGTTTTTGGTTGTTCTTGCGTTTTTCAATTGATTGCTACAAGAGAAAACATGTGATTGGACTGTTATTTAAATCTAAGTTAATATAAATGTAATGTAAGTGATCAGCGACTCTTCTTATAATCATGTTAATACTGATGTGTAACAGCTATTTTCATTTCATTGAATGTGTTTTTCTGTTAGTTTGTTTTCTTTTCCCCAAAGAAAAAAGTTTCTGGCACTGTCATGACAGGATGCAGGATTTTGTATGTGAGTCACCACTGAGGCTGTGCTGGTTTTCAGACTGCGCTGTGGAGAGTTTCTCAAGGTTTCTCGCCTGTTAGCAGCATCATCCCTTCTGTCCCCTTATGCATCCTCTGTGCACAGCTGTAGTCTGTGCTTTGTTTATGTACCGGAGTAGGTCATCCCAAATGGAGTATGCAGTCACACAGACATATACAAGCAGCTCCTGATGGTCCAAACCCAACAGCCACACAGTTTGGATCATAACAGAATAATACAGAGTAGGGGTTCGTT